AACAGAATCAAAAGGGCGACCCCTGTCCCATTTGTGAAGGTGGGTACCACTTTTTAGATAACTGTAGACATACCTGTAAACAGATAAAGTGGCTCAGTTTTGATTTTGTAATTTATTAATTAAGGTACATGTACCGTCGAGGGACGTATCATCAAAGTCAATGACGTAGTAATCTGTGCTGACGGCATCAACAAGTGTCGATGTATCGATACCGGCGTGGTCATCTCTACAAGGATGTTGACCAACAAATATTCCCTCTGTGGTGCCAATAACAATAACAGCTGATCAGGAATACGGAACATTTTTCACTGTTTACAAGCTTGGATATTAATAAATAATAAAATATCATTTACGTAATATGAACTGTACGTGTTTAATTTGTTCTTTATTTAAACGAGGTACTTTGTGGGAAGAGAATATATTCTATAGGGTATGCTGCTTGTTTGTTTGCTTTACGTCTCCTCAAGAAGACGAGTTATCGTCCTTAATATCGTATGTCTATGTTAAGAGTCAGTAAAATATCAAAATATGAAGCAGATGTTGTATAGACTCTGTAGTGTTCTTCATTTCTAGTTCATTGTGATAAATCGAGTCAATATCACTTTACGTTACCGCAACAGTATCCATGATATCTTCTGGTAGTCCTGTGAAATAATTGATAAATGAATTGAAACAAAACGCCTATCTGTACTGATATCTTGCTGTATCGGTTTATTTTATTTTTTAATTTATACTTATATGAATTCCCATGTCTACCGCCCCTACCCAAACAAACTGAAAATTGCCTCCAACGGACTTGAATGAATCATATATAACTTGGTTTTTACATCATTCTAGTATAAAGTGTAACAAGGTTAGCTTTTTTAAAAAAGCTGAGTGTCAGCCACTGGAATACAGAAAATTTGTTTCTTGTTTTGTAATGGTTTATGATTTGATCTATCCATCATGTTGTGTTCCTTAGGCCGGAATTAAAAATATCTTTGTTTCCCCTAACCCGATCCTAAATTCTCAAGTTGGGTCGGTAGGTAGGTAAACAATTTTATTTTCTGACAGCAGCTTTAATATTACATTCTAAAATTTAATGGAATATTACATTTATAAATAAGAAAAGTACAAAAGAAAGTGATTTGTGAACAAAATGCTAAGTATCATATATATGCCGTTTAAAAGCAAAATTCATGATTAATTAATTCACAAGTGTAATTTAGATGAACTTATGAAATATCTCACGCCAGAGTACATTTATATACACTGTAAAAAATGCGCTTAGAAAATAAACACTTCCATTACGTGTTTTGACCTAAACATGTATAAGATTGTGTTTAACGGCTAAACACTTAGGTCTAAACGTGTGTTAGATTGTGTTTAACGGCTAGACACTAATGTCTAAACGTGTGTTATATCTAAATGATGTTAAGATTTAACACATGTTTAGATATAAGTGTTTAGAAATTGAACACTTTTCTGTGAAGTACAGAGTTATCTTCCCGGAAATGACGCATATATATTCGAATGATAAATAGAGCGGTTATCGAAACAAAGGAAATCCCAATGTTAGCTAAAGAAGATGGATTAAAGGAAGTGAATGCTAATCAAAGTGATAACCATACAGAGATTGTGAAATGCATTTAAACTGCAACATTACTGCGATAAAAGGTATCTTAACTATTATTTTTATTTTACATAAATTGACCAAGATGGACTACGTAAATAGACATGCGTTTGCACATGAAGTTGTAGATCAAGATTACCTTTGGTTATATATTGCATTCCTGAAATCTAGAAAGGAGTACATTATATATTGGAATATCAATAATATCTATAACAGTACCAATACTAAATAGTGGTTATATAGACGAGGTTCAATGAAAGTAAAACAATAATAGCTATCAAACATGTAAACAAAAATGGTAATACAAATCCAGCCAGTGAGGAGCATATTTTGATAAATTTTGAATTTCTTTCTTACAGGATATGGTCCACATCGAACTTAAAAAGCAGAAATACACGTATCAGAGAAACTGACTCTCCAAGTCCACACTTCTTACTTTCTTGGGGGAAACTGAGTTTTGTGAAGTCTGCTGTTCGTTATAGCTTTGAACAACCTAAAATATTCTCAAATAATGACAGTGGATTACCTACTGACGGTCACAGATGAAAACACACAAATTATGCGTGTGTTACTCAGTGAAAAATTGCTGGAAGTTAAACTTGATACAGACATGAGGAATAACTTCTTGCTAATCTGGTTAGAATTAAAACCAGCGTGTAAAAATATAATGTATATTTAATTTAAAATTCTTTATAAAAAATCCATGCTTGAATGTTCATTGAATAAAATTTAAAATGTAAACAATTGTTATTTTTTCAGTTTTCTTGCAGGAAGACAACGAAAACAGCCAAGTGTTTAATTTGTAAACATGTATCATAACATGTTTTGTAAAGTGTTTAAAGTCTAAACATGTAAGTGTTTTGGCTCTAAACACTTTCCGTTACACGTAATGAAATTCAATGTGTTTAGAATTTCAACGCATCCCAAAAAGTGTGACAAGAAAGTGCTTAGGAAAGTGTCTATCATCTAAACACATTTTTTACAGTGTAAATCGAATAAAAAAAGACAAGATTCTCAAATACGCAAAGACTGGACATCTGAGTATATTTATTTTCATCATCCTCCAGTGCTTATAGACAATGTACTTTTTTTTAGGGCTGTGAGATTTGCAGTGGTTATAGAGCATTTTGCTTTGGAGTTAAGACGTAAGTTGCTAATTTTAAGTCGCAGGTTCAAATACCAATTAGGAACATTGAAAACGGTCCTTCAAATAGGGACTATAAAAACTTATGTCCAGTGTCGCAGGAGATGCTGGCTCAAAAAAGATCCCCGCTGCTTAATGGCAAAAAAGTGCGTAGTACGTGTAAATTTGGATCAATGGTTCAAATGGTGAATTTTATCATCAAATTGTTTCAAGAGTGAAAAATTCTAGTTAGCTTAAGGCATAAGATTGAGACATCTCCGTTGTTTTATGAAGACTACTTCTCTTTAATCACATTTGGGCGATATTTTATTTCCATCAAATGCTTGAAAATCACAGTAGAACAATGTCGGCCGTTCTGATAAAAACTGATTTTAATGAAATTGTATTTTATTAAACTTGGTTGACAATACAAAAAAAAATTTGAATCATTTTATTTAAAAATTCTTTTCAGTCGGCGCGATTTAATTGGGTCGGTCGCGTTAGGGGAAACAAAGGTATTTTTTTATTTTGGCCTTAAATGTAATAAATGCCATTGTAAGAAAAGTTAAATTCTTGTAATCGTTTTCTTATTTGTAATATAGTGCTGTACATATATAATAATTATAAAGCTTGAAACAAATTGAAACTTGTTTAAAAGATATAAAGGACTTTAGAGGTATTAAAAGCTAATTAATGTGAAAAAAAATGATTTTCTTTTTACATCATTGAGTAATTTTGTAAATAACAAAGAAAAAATCATGTTTAAATACTTGTTTATTTTGCATCGTGATCATTACAATGGTCTCCAAAAATTCTCTTCGGCGCAGACATAGACATCAGAGAAAGTTCATCTTATACAAAGCCACCATGGCAACTAAAATCACGTTAAATTCTATAAAAATGATACAGATTATGAAGAATAAAAAGTAGGTAGACTTTGTGTTAGATTGTTTTTAAATATTATTAAATAACCGTTTTCGTTTGTGCATTTCGAGGCAATGCATGATGTGGAGGGGGGGGGGGGGCATACTGTATGTATATTATCAATTTCTAAGTTCGAGCATCCATTTTAGTGTTATTAGGAAAGAAAAAAATTGCTTCCAAAAAAAGTAATGAACGCCATGGAAAACAATTTAAAATGGAAAATCAAAATATGTTTATACATGCAGTACGTATATATACATGTACACAAAATGTCTTAAAAGTTTGATGATGATGTCTACCATCATAGCAAAACTTTAGATTAAAAAGCTGGAATCCATCTCCCCCCTCTCCTTTCATTGCGGGGGGGGGGGGGGGGGTTGTCTATAAATCAGCACAGTTCTCTCAGCTATCGCATTTTCACTGTGGTCAATTTCTCACATGTGGGCGCGGTTCACGTGCACGCACAAGCGGCACTTATACGTCTATCATCATGTAAATCATAAGAATTTACTGTCTTACAGTGGTCTTCTGATGTTTTCAGATCTTCAATCATTAGAGTGAAAAGAAATTGATCTTTCTTTTTTTCACTATTTTGGGACCTTTGTGGCAAGTGTATTGTTGTGTGAATTCCGACCCGTACATGTCTTATGCAAGGTCGAGGGAGTCTTGCATCAGGCATCCAGAGGAATACACAATTTAAATCTTCGGCTTGCAATGGCGATTGAGGGAATCTTCTATTAAAATATTAAAGCATTGAAATATTTTCATAGTATCATTTAGTATCATTTAAAAACTGACAAATATCACATCTAAAGGCTGAACAATCTATGTCATTAATTTTCGTCGAGGACGACGAAGAACAATTGATGCAGTCTATAAATAGATTGAGGTCGTGAGTGTGCGTGAAGAAGCACGCCCTCTGGTTGGAGAAAATTGTGCAAATCTTTTCCCCAGAATTCCGATTAACGCAAGCGCACTTGAAGTTTCATCCTAACGTAACTAGTCAGCCCGGGGGCTGACTAAAAACTAACAAAGAATGGAGTTATTAACTACACTTTTCATCTTCTACAAAGAGTAAAATATTCATTTTTCATGTAAATAATTATAGAGTATACGTGACTCTATAATATGCAAAGTGATAATATCAGTTACATTTATATATATATATCGTTAATTAGTTTCAAATTTAATCTAAAATATTTCTCAAAATTTTGTTAGGTCCCTGATTTTATAAATATTTGCACGAATAAAATCTATTTCGTCAGGGACCTATATACTAGTATATATATAGGTCCCTGATTTCGTTGATAACTTGAGGGAGTCCATTTTAGGGCGAAGTAACTGGAAACCCATTCATTGTACGAGTTATCTAAGTAAACATGGCGGACGATCTTCGAAGCAGGTGATTATGAATCAATTTCATATTATTTTTACGAGTTTACAATGGGGGGAATGTGTATATACTGATACCAATACTCGTTTTAATGCTGTGTCATCATGTTAAATGGTAGAGTTGAGTAATATCGCGGTAAACTAAAAGAGTATTGAGGAAATTCGAATTAATAAGGTGATAAGCATGTTTACCAGATCCAGCTCAATCTCTTAATTTTTAGTTGTAAAGCTTGACTTAGCTATGTTATTGTAGATTTATTGTGTTATTCAAAATAACTTGATAAAACTGTTTATCTCTTTTTTAATGTTTTCTTGTAAATCACTACCCTTATGATTAAATAAATCAACAAACCTTTTAGAACTCTTTATAATTAAATTAAGTTAAATGCATCACATGCATTTGTCAACCATTTACTACCTGTTCACAACTTTTAAGATGGTAACCATAATGCATTTGTTTTCATTACTTGTAAAGTATAACCATAATTCAATGCTTTTCTGAACCTGTGAACTATACCCATAATAATTCATTGGTTTTCTTATGTAGGATAATGGGCGACGAGGCACGGACAAACAGTGTGATGAAGACTATGATCCTTTTTAGCTTATCCATGATCTTCTTCCCAGTCTTCTTGTATTTCTTTTCCAAAAGCATGTTCTTTCAAGGTAAAATCATCATCAAATATGTTTTACTAAGTCTTTCAATTAATTCGACCTTTGATTTTAAGAATTCGGAACATTAACTGGCAAGATTGGAAAAACGCAGCTTACGTCATTTCTATATGTAACAATCAAAACATTTAATGATAGACAATGAAATGGGCGGGTACAATTTGAGGTTGACGTGGAAGCATACATGTTAACCTATTGTGATGAAAAATAGGGAGATTCAGACCTCAAAAGCGGTAGCATTGCATGTGCGTTGTTTTACGCTTGGATTACCGACATATTTCATGTAATATATACATGTATGTAGCCTTAAATGAAACCTACAATAATTAATCTCGGTGGAAGGCCGAGAAAACAATGGATTGAAACTCTAGTTTGAAATTCATTTTCAATCCACTGCAGTTACATGTACACTAGAAGGCACATTATTACTGATTGACCCAGAAGACAAATAATTTCAATTTCAGTGTAGTTTAATATACATAAATCAGAATTTTCTGTCCAGCGTTTTAAAGAAATATATGAAGGGAAAATATTTGATTTCTGTTTGTACCCTGGGGAGGTGGGGGGTGGGGGGGGGGGGTGGGGTAACGATCATGAAAATAAATAATTTAAGAAAGTTGTCAAACATTTTTCATTGAAGACAAAACTAAAAAAGGCTCCTGTCAGGCCAAAATAAAATTATTATTTGTTTGGAATTGCCTCCCGCCTCATTGAAATGCCCTCTCCTGAAAATATTTTATTGACCAAAAGTTGGAAGATTTTTTTTTATTTAATCAATTTATTTGCCCATTATTCATGTATCACATGCACCATACAAAATACAAAACACCGAAATATAGTGTCAGATCTATGTAATATTAGGATTTTTTGTTGATGGTAGATACATTTTTTAAAAGTCAGAAAATGTATTTACTGTTTACTAAGATTTTTATCAAAAATTTAAAATTTATCTTCAATTTAAAAAAATAAAATAATTTCCCTCCCTCCCTCCTGTGTCTGAAACCCTTCAGGCGGCAATTCCAAACAAACAATTTTTAAAGGATGGCCTCATCCTAAAAATGAATTGGTTCAAAGCATGATCTAACTCAACAATTTTTGACAGCCCCCCTACTAGAATCAAATGGCCATCTCCTGAAAAAATAATACCGGTATATATCTTTTATGACTTTTACCAGTGTCCTTAAGATTATTTTATAGTCTCTAAACTCATATCAATATAAATTTCAACCATCATATTTGAGAATTGAAATTATTTGTCTGTTGGATCATACATTCACCCTTTGCTTTTGAAAACAGCTCAGGTGGATTGAAAATGAATTTCAAACTAGAATTACAATCCAATTTTTTCTCGGCTGTCTGCTTCAAATTGTACCCATCCATTTCATTTTCTATCATTTAATGTTTTGATTGTAACAGATAGAAATGACGTATTTCTAAGCTGTTTATTTCCAATCTTGCCAGATAATGTTCCGCGGTCTTAGTTTACATTGAGAAATGGGATAACCTTAAGGTATTAGTAATCTTTTCAACAAACAGACTGAACAATATACAGTGAACATGTAAATAAATTCCTTTTACCATGCAACAATATTAAATAAAAAACCAAACATGGTCTAGTTTTAGATTTTCTATCAGATTTAAATGCAGGGAGAAATAGAAAATATTCTGACCCTTGATCTGACTTAATTTAGGAATCATGGGAATTTCCAGCCAAGACAGCTCTTTCTATGCAGCGTTTGTTGCCATAGGAACAGTGCATATTATTCTAGGACTTTTCTTGTACACAGCATTTACAGAGGACACTTCAAAGCCTTCAGATCTCAAGGCAGACTAGGAAGATTGTTCTTACAAGTTATCATACATCTGTATTATTTGTTAGATATGAAGGGGTAGATTTGTACATGCTAAGTATATATTTACATGTATGTATGTAGATGAAAGAATGATGATTGAACAATTATTGTATGTGCAATATTGATTATGGTTTTTGTTTTTGATTAATTGTACATTTTTGGGAATAATAAAATGTAACCTGTATTATATGAATGTTACAGAATCTTGTAGTCTCAAAAAAATATGTGTGCTAGACAGTCCAATTCAATTTTATTACATGTAGTTAATTAAAAATACATTGATGAATAATAGCAAAAGTAGACGTTTCAATTTTTAAACTTGAAAGAAATCACACAACTAAATGTTAAATTGCTTTGTATTGATTTGTACATATACATGACATTGTCAATATACACAGAATATTAACTGTTCTATGTGTGTTCAAAATAATTGATAAATGAAACCAAGCACAACTTCTTATTACTCTGGTTGCTAGTTACATTTTTAAAATCCATGCATTTTTTTATGCTTCTTATTTATGTGGACAGAGCAATTATGGGTTGTTGAAATATTGGTGAGATATCTTTACATTTGTAAATGTGTGAGCATCTCTTCTCATGTTTTGATTCACTTTGTGTGATGCCAATGAAACCTAAGTATTGAAATGCACTCAGTTTGCTGCTTCATCTGTTTTGTTTTAAAATGTACATTCCATAGTATGAAGATATTTGCCTTCCATTTCTTTTTTAAATAAGAGGAACATGTATATCATTTTTAACTTTGATTATTTACATGCAAGTATTTTACACCAATATGAAACCTTTCTAAACATTAAGGTCAAGATATAGTAAATGACTTTGGAATAACTTTTCAGAGCTAAATCCGTTATGACGTCATAATCACTTTCAACTTTCTTTTTCCTGTACTTTACGGCTCTAATAGAAATATGTAGAAAATTAAGTATTTTCATGGAATTCAATTTGAAATCACATGAAAAGTAGTCCCGATACCATCTTAAATTTAACATTATTTTAAAGTAGAGACTAAGAACATACAAATAACCGTTTTCAGAAAAACTGTAGGCAATCTGGATACATTTTCTTTGTCTGATATGGAAAAAACTCCCATTTTTCAATACTGGTTTTCTTAATTTTTCAATGAAATGACAGTTTAAAATATGGTTTTACATCTTATTTTTCTACAAATTATGCCCCAAAACACCTATTTTGACCAAGCTTATGTTATAAAGCATCATTAAACGAATTGATTTCTTAAATTTGAAAAATCTGTAGGCACCTTCCATTTACTTGATCTTGACCTTAAGTGTTTGAATAAACATGTAAATATTAAAATAAGACTACAATTATTTACTTTTTTATTACATTTGAATGTCAGATATCACTAGAATTTCAATGATTTAAGTTTAAAATTACATTAGTGTTATTATTTGTTTATTTTCAATAAATAAAAATAAAAATGATAATAAAATAAAAACCATACAAAAGTTATATTTTTTTCTATCAGTGACTTTGAACTTGCCGTAATGACCTTGAGTAAAGGTCTCAACTTACCCTTGTATCGAAAGCATTCTCTGTACCAAGCATGCTTCCAATGATTCTCCATTGCAAAGTTAAATCCTGGATAAAGATTTCAAACTTTTTTTTTGCCAGTGACCTAGAACTTTCCAAAATGACCTTAAAGCTTGGGTCAAGGTTAACGCACACCCTTTGATCTGATAAGCAATCTTTACACCAAGTATGAGCTTCCAGTGATTACATTTCAATGCCAAAGTTTTTGCATGGAAAATAAAAAAAAACCAAGAGGCCCAGGGGCCACAGCGCTCACCTGAGCATATCGGGCTTGAATTTATCCCCCCCTCCAGGCGTTCATCATTTGAACAAATTAGAATCTACACTACCTGAGGATGATTCCATATAAATATCACTAATCATAGCTTTGAAGTACTTGAAAAGAAGATTTTAAAAGGTTTCCCTATTTATCCCTATGTAAAACTTGGGTTGGCCATTTTGGCCCCACCCTAGCCCCGGGGGTCATGATTTGAACAAACTTGAATCTACACTACCTGAGGATGATTCCACATGAGTTTCATCTTTCCTGGCCCAGTGGTTCTTGAGAAGAAGATTTTTAAAGATTTTCCTAATATATTCCTATGTAAAACAAGGGTCGGCCATTTTGGCCCCACCCTTGCCCCGGGGGTCATGATTTGAACAAACTTGAATCTACACTACCTGAGGATGATTCCACATTAGTTTCATCTTTCCTGGCCCAGTGGTTCTCGAGAAGAAGATTTTTAAAGATTTTTCCTATATATTCCTATGTAAAACTTGGGTCGGCCATTTTGGCCCCACCCTTGCCCCGGGGGTCATGATTTGAACAAACTTGAATCTACACTACCTGAGGATGATTCCACATGAGTTTCATCTTTCCTGGCATAGTGGTTCTGGAAGATTTTTAAAGATTTTTCCTATATATTCCTATGTAAAACTTGGGTCAGCCATTTTGGCCCCACCCTTGCCCCGTGGGTCATGTTTTGAACAAACTTGAATCTACACTACCTGAGGATGATTCCACATGAGTTTCATCTTTCCTGGCCCAGTGGTTCTGGAGAAGATTTTTAAAGATTTTTCCTATATATTCCTATGTAAAACTTGGGTCGGCCATTTTGGCCCCACCGTTGCCCCGCGGGTCATGATTTGAACAAACTTGAATCTATACTACCTGAGGATGCTTCCACATGAGTTTCATTTTTCCTGGCCCAGTGGTTCTCGAGAAGAAGATTTTTAAAGATTTTTCCTATATATTCCTATGTAAAACTTGGGTCGGCCATTTTGGCCCCACCGTTGCCCCGGGGGTCATGATTTGAACAAACTTGAATCTACACTACCTGAGGATGATTCCACATGAGTTTCATCTTTCCTGGCCCAGTGGTTCTGGAGAAGAAGATTTTTAACGATTTTTCCTATATATTCCTATGTAAAACTTGGGTCGGCCGTTTTGGCCCCACCGTTGCCCCGGGGGTCATGATTTGAACAAATTTGAATCTATACTACCTGAGGATGCTTCCACATGAGTTTCATCTTTCCTGGCCCAGTGGTTCTCGAGAAGAAGATTTTTAAAGATTTTTCCTATATATTCCTATGTAAAACTTGGGTCGGCCATTTTGGCCCCACCGTTGCCCCGGGGATCATGATTTGAACAAACTTGAATCTACACTACCTGAGGATGATTCCACATGAGTTTCATCTTTCCTGGCCCAGTGATTCTCGAGAAGAAGATTTTTAAAGATTTTTCCTATATATTCCTATGTAAAACTTGGGTCGGCCGTTTTGGCCCCACCGTTGCCCCGGGGGTCATGATTTGAACAAACTTAAATCTGCTCTACCTGAGGATGATTCCACATGAGTTTCATCATTCCTGGCCCAGTGGTTCTCGAGAAGAAGATTTTTAAAGATTTTTCCTATATATTCCTATGTAAAACTTGGGTGGCCATTTTGGCCCCACCGTTGCCCCGGGGATCATGATTGAACAAACTTGAATCTACACTACCTGAGGATGATTCCACATGAGTTTCATCTTTCCTGGCCCAGTGATTCTCGAGAAGAAGATTTTTAAAGATTTTTCCTATATATTCCTATGTAAAACAAGGGTCGGCCATTTTGGCCCCACCCTTGCCCCGGGGGTCATGATTTGAACAAACTTGAATCTACACTACCTGAGGATGATTCCACATGAGTTTCATCTTTCCTGGCCCAGTGGTTCTGGAGAAGAAGATTTTGCCAATATATTTATGTAAAACAAGGGTACGGCCATTTTGGCCCCACCCTTGCCCCGGGGGTCATGATTATGAACAAACTTGAATCTATACTACCTGAGGATGCTTCCACATGAGTTTCATCTTTCCTGGCCCAGTGGTTCTGGAGAAGAAGATTTTTAAAGATTTTTCCTATATATTCCTATGTAAAACAAAAGTCAAACAGGCAATTTTGGCCCCACCCTTGCCCCGGGGGTCATGATTTGAACAAACTTGAATCTACACTACCTGAGGATGATTCCACATGAGTTTCATCATTCCTGGCCCAGTGGTTCTCGAGAAGAAGATTTTTAAAGATTTTCCCTATATATATTCATATGTAAAACTTGGGTCGGCCATTTTGGCCCCACCCTTGCACTGGGGGTCATGATTTGAACAAACTTGAATCTACACTACCTGAGGATGATTCTACATGAGTTTCATCTTGTCCTGGCCCAGTGGTTCTGGAATAAAATTTTTAAAGATTTTTCCTATATATTCCTATGTAAAACTTTGCCTCCATTTTGGCCCCACCCTTGCCCTTCGGGGGTCATGATTTAAACAAACTTGAATCTACACTAATTTCTGAGGATGCTTCCACATGAGTTTCATCTTTCCTGGCCAAAGGGGAAAATCTGGAGAATAAGATTTTTTAAAAATGCCATTAATTTTTAACAAATTCATGATTATCTCCCCTTGGAAAAGGGTTGGCCCTTTTTGAACCTGTCAATAAGTCCCCTTCACTTTATTTATATATCTGTGCCAAGTTTCTTTGAAATTGGCCCAGTGGTTTTTGAAGGACTAGATAGAAAATTATGAAAAGTTTACAACGACGACAACAACAACGACCGACAAATTCTAATTTCTTTATTTTTCTGAAAAGCTCACTTGAGCCCTTTTAAACGGCTAAAATGAGCTAATAATACTGTACCTTTTCAGTCAGTGACCTTAAACTTTTTCTGACTGATCTTTGGTCAAGGTCCTTACATATCGTATATACATAAGACCGCGGAACATTAACTTGCAAAATTGGAAATATACAGCTTACGTCATTTCTATCTGTTACAATCAGAACATTCAGCGATAGACAATGAAATAGGCGGGTGCAATTCGACGCGGACGTGGGGAAAACATCGGATTGAAATTGCAGATCGAAATTCATTTTCAATCCACCTTAGCTACGCTAGAAGGCACATTATTACTGATTGACCCAGAAGACAAATAATTTCAATTTTGGTACAGTTTGAATTTTTTTGTGCAGTGTTTTAAATAAATTTATAACCTAGGAACAAATATTTCATTTCTGTTGGGTAAATATACCGTATGTATATATTTATGTTGGTGAAGGGTGTGGGGGGAGGGGGGCTGAACGATTTTTAAATAAAGTTGTCCAACAGTTTTTAGTGAGAATAAGTATAAAACTCATGCAAGGGTCTTATAATCCTACGAAATAAAATATATTGTCATGTTAAGCCATGATCTGACCTATATATTTTTTACCCCCCCCCAATTTTTTAGAATCAAAAATCTCCTTTTGTGTAATTAATAATTTTTGTCTTTTATGATCTTTTGCGTTCTTAAAATTATAAGTTAAAAAAAATTGTTTTAATTTGAACTTCAAAACAATGAATGCATTTGTGTTTTAAATGATAAACCGGTGATTTTTGGATCAGACATGGAAAATTTTCTTTGAAAAATTTACAGCTTGAGCTGGATTGAAAATGAATTTCGATCTGCAATTTCAATCCGATGTTTTCCCCACGTCCGCGTCGCATTATACCCGCCCATTTCATTGTCTGTCGCTGAATGTTTTGATTGTAACAGATAGAAATGACATAAGCTGTATATTTCCAATTTTGCCAGAATTAAAAATTATATGACATCTTATAAATCCCTGTATTTACATTATTGATCAAATCCTAAAATTTGCCAGCTTTTTACCATACAACAACAACAATATTTTTACATTAATTTGCTTTTGGTCAATTTGAAATATTTCTGTACCACAAGTAAAGTTTAAAAATAACCCCCTCGGCCGGAATTAAAAATATCTTTGTTTCCCCTAACCCGACCCAAATTCTCAAGTTGGGTCGGTAGGTAGGTAAACAATTTTATTTTCTGACAGCAGCTTTGAAAATACATTCTAAAATTTAATGGAAAATTACATTTATAAATAAGAAAAGTACAAAAGAAAGTGATTTGTGAACAAAATGCTAAGTATCATACATATGCCATTTAAAAGCAAAATTCATGATTAATTCATTCACAACTGTAATTTAGATGAACTTATGAAATATCTCACGCCAGAGTACATTTATATAAATCGAATTACAAAAAGACAAGATTCTTAAATACGCAAAGACTGGACATTCGAGTTTATTTTTTCAAACCTTCAATCATCCTCCAGTGCTTATAGACAGTCAATGTTCTTCTTTGAGGGCCATGAGATTTGCAGTGGTTCTAGAGCATTTTGCTTTGGAGTTAAGACGTAAGTGGCTAATTTTAAGTCGCAGGTTCAAATACCAATGAGGAACGTTGAAAACGGTCCTTCAAAAGGGACCATAAAAACTTATGTCAGTGTCGCAGAAGATGCTGGCTCAAAAAGATCCCCACTGCTTAATGGCAAAAAAGTGCGTAGTACGTCTAAATTTGGAGCAATGGGGAAATGTTCAAATGTAGTCCCAACAAATCTCGAAGGGATTAAAAGCCAAGAAACAACCAATCTTCATGGGCCTAATTAAAGAAAAATACACTGGACGTCTCAGGAAGCTGAATTATGATTTCAAAACTATTTGGAAAGAGTATTTAAACAATATTTAAATGAACCAAACCGAATCTACAAATGATAAAAATGCTATATAAAACAATGTCATAGTCACGAAGTTTAACCCGTAAATAAAGGCATGAAAAAGTACAACTAAATTATATTTATCACGATGAATATGCAGACATATTTACAACAGCTCCTATGATTCCATAATGGCATATAGTAAACATAGGAACATAGATGAATTGTTTATTAGATCAAAACTCAAATTAAATAAAATGCAGTGAAATTGAATGATGTGTTCACTAGGTGGGCCCCTCATCTGCTCATGAGGCTGGCCTTTCCATGTATTACGTACCTGAAATTCAACAGACAGAATTGTTTGTTCGTTGTTTACCGTCCCTTTCGAAAATTTATTCACTCACATCATAGTAGAGACACCAAAAAACCTCCGAAATACTCTTAATTAGTCATGGTAAATTTTATTATCAAATTGTTTAAAGAGTGAAGAATTCTAGTTAGCTAAAGGCAAAAGATTGAGACATCGCCATTGTTTTATGAAGAACTACTTCTCTGTAATCACATCTGGGCGCTATTTTGTTTCCATCAAATGCTTGAAAATCGCAGTAGTACAATGTCGGCCTTTCTGATAAAAAGTGATACTTTTATGAAATTGTATTTTATAAAACTTGGTTGACAATAAATTTTTTTTTGAATCATCTTATTTAAAAAATCTTTTCAGTCGGCGCGATTTAATTGGGTCGGTCGCGTTAGGGGAAACAAAGGTATTTTTATAAAAGTAATCAATGGTAATCAATGTGAGAAAAGTTTTGAAATTTACTCGATTATTCACAGGCACCTGAATTTTTATCAATAAGTCGCTAAATTAGCCAAATATCGAGAAATTCTACACCCTACATATAAAATACACATTTATAAATCATATACAGAGGAGGTAGAATTTTTCGATATTTGGCTAATTTAACGACTTATGGATTATTTAAGGGAAACTTCAGTTTAATTTGCAGACCATGAGTCTTGCACAAACGAAATACCCTTTGAATTGTATTTTCTACCTTCTATAGAATTAGTTGTGTTATTTTAATTTTGAGAATACTCATTATACTTATTGTGTGGCCATTAGGGCAAATGCAGTTGTACAATAAAAAAAAAACTTTACATAGCTTACACTTGTCACCTGCGTGCTGCATGGTGCAGTGGTTAGTAGAGCATGTGCCCTAAGTATGGATCTGATCTTGAGATCCCGGGTTCGAATCGACTACCGGAGGTAGAGATCGGTTCCTTTGGATAAGATCTCTAAATCAAGGTCTCATGTCAGAGGAGGTGATGACAAGAAAAAGCACTGATCACTGCTCAGTGCCCTCATCGCAGTCATCGGGCAAGTGGTGGTTTGTTTCTTCATTCAGTTCAATTCATAGTGAAAAATTCTCAAGAGGAACATTAAAGAACAAACAGAGCTTGCACAAGTTGTAATGGTTTAATTTGTTGCTGCACCTCTTCACACTTTTTACCACATGAAATACAATCTAGACTGCAATGTCACATGAACTTGTTTGTAATTTTATTTCTGTAATTAAATACAAGTAGGCCTAGCTTGTGTGTTTTTTTAAATGAAAAACATTGAAGAATACATGCTATTGCTTTTATTTTTATTTTTTGTTTCATTAAATCTTTTTTGAACAACTAAATCTACACAAAACAAGAAGCCTTTACATATACAGTCCTCCAATACAAAAATTCTGGCAGAAGTTTACTTAAAAATGAAATTGTCTAATATGCAAATTTAAATTAAGACTTTCTCCATCCTTACCTGTTTGTGTATTGAGCTTATTTTCTGGGTAACACTTTATGCTGCTCCCTACTATGATTAATAAATTAAATTAAATGTGGCGAGATATAATACTTTGTTTGATTTTTAAATGCAGGTGGATGGAAACCATGATGTTTCGATGATCTTAATTGATATTGATGACAAGTGTGAGAAGTGGAGCCACGATGTTAACTTGGAAGTATGTTAACAAGATTTGGTGGATGCCTGCATCAACAACCATAAGATGGAAACACTCCTTCACAAATGTTAATAGGCATATTTTTAACAAAGGCTGCAGAGGAAATGATAGAAGTTGTTCTTTAAAATGTTTCAAAAACAGCTCAAGAAACATTTTTATATCATGTTCATCTTTACTACAAGCAGAATCTGTGGAAAAGGGATTAATTATAGAACCTGATGAATATGTTCAAAACATTTTCAAAGGACTGAAAAGTCAGAATAGGGGGAGTTTAGCAAGAGCAATAACTCTTATAGAGACTAGCAACCCAAAGAAGAAAGTTCAAGCCAAAGCATTACTGAACCTAATTCTACATGATCAAAAGATGGTTGGAGTTCATTCTATGAAAGGTCCACCAACTTTTAGAATAGGTGAGTAATATCTCAGAGTCTCTCTTTTTTTTTTTACCAAGAGTTTTTTTTTTATCAAACAAACTCTTTTGATTAAGAAAGATGCACATTTAAATTGTTATTTATGATGAGAAAAGAAATTTTTGATTAATTCTTTTTCTTTTCTAGGACTTTCTGGACCACCTGGGGCTGGGAAGAGCACATTTATTGAAACATTTGGAAAGTTCCTTACAGAAAGGGATCACAGAGTTGCTGTCTTAGCAGTTGATCCCTCCTCATCACGCAGTGGGGGTGAGTTCATTTATGATAATCACAGAGTTGATATCTTAGCAGTTGATCCTTTCTCATCAGGAGTGGGTGCAAGTTCTTTATAGGTT